ACATTACATTTGAGCCTTGATCTCATTTTTGAACTGTAAATCTCTGCCTGAATGGTAATAAAATCATTAGGTTTGGTCTTAGTGGTGTCGATGACAGATGTGTCGATGATAGATACTCCCCTATCCCCACATCATCCCAGAGACTGTCAAATCCATTTCCATTTTTGTGTATCGTGTGTGCGTGCGTGTCCACGCTAGCTTACACATGAATCAGCACACACACACACACACACACACACACACACACATGTATATATGGCCTGAAGATTGCATCTAACATGAAACAGACTGTCGCCTCTAAGTGTTGACTTCCATGTTCACTTTCATATATATATATATATATATATATATATATATATATATATATATATATATATATCATTGCATCTCCAACACTAATAATCAAAAACATTAAATACATACATTGGGAAAACATGCACCACATTCTCTCGCAGAATAACTTGTCACCTGTCGAAACTTAGTGTAACCCGTGTACACATCGACCAGTAAATCATGAAAGTTCAAAGTACAACCGTCAACATTAGACAAATGCCAGTAGGTAATACCAAAATATTCAGGTATCTAGCCCTCCCCCCCCCACGAGGCTTGCATGTGGCACAAGGCAGAGTTTAACGTGGGTTTCCCGAGCCCGTAGGCCCGGCCAAAAAATGCCCTTATAACCCGTATGAACGAGATCGGGTTGGTCATTTCTCCCCGAACGAGATTCTACCCTTCGGCGGAACCTCGTCCGGGTTCCTTTCTGCTCAGAGGCAGAAAGTTCGACCGTCAAGTCGAGAAGCTCGGCTTGAATACCAAAATATTCAACTGCCTCCAATGCAAAGAAAGACTCAACACTCTAGAAGCTATTATTATACAAACTAAAACATTATTCACCACAGAATAAGTTATGTTAAAGTGAATATGATATGATTAATTAATTTTGTTATAATAATAAAATTATAAATAAATCAAATAAATAAAGATAAAAATTGAAATTCAATAAATGAGTAAATAAATAAATGCTATTTTTTCCCAGTAGCTGCTATATATACGCAAAAATGGCGAATTAAATTTCCAGGAATCGGTTCCCTATAGGCAGGTAATCTTTAGGAACCTATTCTGCTTATTTTCTTTTCATACTGAGAATGGAAATAAATCACTTTATAGTATCAAAAAGAATTAAACCATTTTGATAATTTAACAGAAAACATTTATTTATTAAGATATTTCCAGATTGATATTCTGTTCTGATCATGTTTCTGTTCATAAGTTTGATGCTTTTTGACTCTAGTCTCATCAGCTGTGTTATAGTTTCTTAGCCGAATTCAAACTGAATCGCTGCACTCCCAAAGATCCAATGGAAGACTTATCAAATTTATGAAGATTTGCCACATTTTTCACTTCATGATATCTTTTGTCAGAATGAATTATGTTACTCACGGAAAACCGTTTTTCTGCCTCTGCAGAACTTACAACAATGGTATCAATTATATCTTTAGCTATTATATATCGGCTATTAATATATAATATTATTTCTGGATAATCCAACAATCAGTTTCCAACGCATTTATAGTTTTGAAAATGGATTCACGAGAACCGATACGAACCGGTAGGATACCACCACTATATGTATGTACGTATGCAAGAATATAAGAAAACGGGTGAAAATTATATTTTATAATTATTTCTTATATTCATCATTTTGCGCAGTTTTTTAAAAGTAATTCAGTTCCGGTTTGTTTAAATATTCTCCCACTCAGAATAATTTCGAAAATTTTCAAATTTATGTCGATTTGAATTATAAAGCCTGTAGTAGGATAGATGTTGTTTTTCAAATACATTGGCATTTCTGTGTAAAATAGGCGTGTTCACTTTGCCTTTGATCAAATATGGAATTATATCTTAATCATTTCAAGCAAGGCAATAAAGCCACTAAGACACAAGAGGTTGATGAGGGCATGAGAAAATAATAATATAAAAATGTTATTTTAAAATATATATTAACGTGAGAAAACAATAAAAAAACAAAAATTAAGAAGAGAAAACAATGATTGATATTACATTTACATTTCTAAAGATCAAAGTTGACTGGGAAGCAAGCAGCATTATATAAACAATTTGCTCACCTTTACTTAATGAATTCTGGGATTTTTTAATCATTTCATTTCAAGTAAGACAATAAAGCCACTAAGATGCTATTAAGAAGTGATAACAATAAACGCACAGGAATTAAGAAGACAGAAGTGATTTCCACAAACGGGAAGTGCAAGAGAAGGAAATGTTAATATAGAACGTACGGTTTGATCTATCCATTTCAACTGTAAAATAATGAGACCTAGCTGCCAATCTAGTACTGCGCTTAAATACATAAGTCTAGGTACCATAGAGGAAAATCTGTCAGAAGAATTACCATAAAAGTATTTATAGAAAAAGCACAGAGGAGCTACGTTGCGAGGATAGAAAGGGAGGGATAGCGAGATGATAGAACAGGACCAGTAATATTGCAGTTTCATAAAAAATGTAAAATAAACGTTTCTTTCAATAAAGAATATAATATATATATATATATACATACATATATATATATATATATATATATATATATATATATATATATATATATATATATATATATATGTTTAAAATGACATTTGGAAAAAAAATTTTAAATTTTGTTGATGCGTTTCGTCTTCCGACTTTTTTAAGGCAAAAATGAAATCGAAATTTCTTTATTGTTATAGTTACATTGAAAAAATACAAATTTAAAAAGATAGACGCTTCTGTCTAAGCCTTTATCTGGTAATGTAAATTTCCTTTATACTAAAAAGTTTTTTTTTGTTTTTTTTTCCATGTCGACAATACAGTTAAATTCCAAGATCAATTATGTGGACAAGACAAATTGGTACAAACAATATTATATATATATATATATATATATATATATATATATATATATATATATATATATATATATATATATATACTATACTCTATCGTCGAATTCGACGTATGAGGTTCAAGCAGATCAGTTCCTATGAAACCGACAGCCTGACAACAGCACATGAGATTCGATTATAGTGGTGAAGGTTTTGTGCAGAACCATCCAGACTTTCGAAAGTATACAGAGACCTGCTGCACTACGTTTTCACAATGTCCCCAACGACCCTCTGCAGGTTTTGCATTCAGGGTCGTCCTTCTCCAAGACCAGTTGTCATCCAAGGCAATAAATTCATTACGGTTTGCCATATTGTATCATTACTATTTACCCATAGCTGGTGGAGGGAGATGAGGATTCCCAAGGGTATTATTAGCACATAAGTGAATGTAATATAACAGAGCTATTAAGTATATATGAATAAATATACATATCATTCCCTACCAAGAGCCCGACTCAGAGTTTCAACTATTGAAACTCTGAGGCGTGATCTTGGTAAGGAATATATGTATATTTATTAATATATACTTAATAGCTCTTTATATTACATCGAGCACTATTTTATTAACACTAGCCGTCAATGTGTGATATGATATATATATATATATATATATATATATATATATATATATATATATATATATATATATATATTTATTAATGAATTAAAGAATATCAAACACTTAAAATCCCATAGGTAATATTTTTTATTTCATGAAAGATCTAAAAGTAGCAGCTCTCAATGTTAAATACCTACAAACAAATTGTTTGGATTATATTCTCCTGAAAATATATATATATATATATATATATATATATATATATATAAATATATATATATATATATAGAGAGAGAGAGAGAGAGTGAGAGAGAAAGAGAGAGAGAGAGAGAGTGAGAGAATCAGAGTATTTGTGTATTTTGCTGATGATCAAACTATTGCATGGCCAGCCACCTAGAATCAAAGTGAAGTATCTGTCCAGTGCCAAAAATGAAAAAATAAACAGCATTTAATATTCTTCAATGCTGTTTCTGTTGCTATACGTTATCGGATGAATTATGACACCTCGGCGTGGTGTAATGGTTAACATGCTTGTCTTTCTAGAACAATTACGACTGAGTAGTGAGTTCGATTCTCACTGTGTCCCATACATTCGACCTTGTGCTACCTCTAAGCTATGCTTGGAATGTCATTTTGGTCACCTCAGCATGGTGTAATGGTTAGAAAGCTTGTCTCATTAGATCAGTTACGATTTTGATCCTCACTAGGTGCCTCATACTTTCAGTCTTGTGCCACATCTAAGCTACACTTAGAAAATAATCATTATCGGATGGCTTGAAATTGTACCTTTTCTTACATTCCATATATTTCTTACATTCCATATATTACTTAGATTCCATATATTGTTTATAAGTTGAAATTAATTTATTTCAGGTGCGTACAAGTTTTCTATGCCTTTTTCATCCATTTTGAACATAATCTATTTTATACAAATCTAAATCATGAAAATAAACCATAATGAATATATTTATATAACACAACAACATTTAATGAAAGCGCTATTTTGGATCCATGTAAATTACCTAATATTCCATGCAATCGACAAAGCGTGGAAAGATATGTTGGTATTTCTTATAACAAAATCTCTGCTTCCAAACAGGATCCAGATACAGACATATTTTGGGAATTTGCTTGAATCAAAAAATAAAAAGCTTAAATTCGAAACTAAATATCAATTTCTTAAAGATATATATATATATTTATATTGCTATTTTTGTCCTAATTTATTGTATTTTAATTAAAATATATAATTGTCTGAACTGTATGAAACACACACACACACACATATATATATATATAAACACACACACACATATATATATATATATATATATATAAGGAAGAAAAAGATATATAAATTTTTGTATACTAGAACAATGACAAGAAAATTAATGAGAAAGCGGTAGAAATTTCGTTTGACATTTCATTATTTAAACATCGTTTTCGTCCAATGAAGATGTAAGTGACGAAACGCGTCACACGAAAAAAATGCTTACTCTTTGTCATTAATTTTCATATATATAGATAGATAGATAGATAGATAGATAGATAGATAGATAGATAGATAGATAGAGAAAGAGAGAGACAGAGGTTGAAAGATAGATAATGTAATTACTATAGGTACACTTATAGATACATTAAATATGTACTTATGTTAGGTCAAAATTGATAAAAATATATGTGTGTGTGAGAGAGAGGGTGTGTGTATGTGTGTGTGTGTGCGTGTGTGTGTGTGCGTGTGTGTGTGTGTAAGGCACGAGATGGCATTTTTCAGTAGATTTCGTTGTGCTTATCGCTGGATGAGGGGCACGCCAACCTTACACGTTTCAATGTGTACATTATATACATATGTGTATGTGTGAGCGGTGTGCGTGTATGTGAGCCCACTACCGAAGCTGACACGCTTATTTATTTTTCACGGGAATCAACGTTCGACAAAAAGAACGCCAAGAGTCTAATGGCCAAGCAGCACTGTGAAGTTGGAGGATTGGCGCAATACAGTCTTTTTTTGCTTCCCCGTTTCTCCCTTCTTCTTTGTCGTTTCCACACACACACACACACACTCACATACACACTCACATACACACACACATATATATATATATATGTATGTATATAACTCTGTGTGTTTGCGTGTGTGTGTATAAGTATGTACACTTTTGTACATTAATTTATACAGTTGCATGCACATAAATATACAACGTTATACACTATATATTATGAAATTTTAATCTTAAATTATATGTTTAATATAACTAACGCACTCTCTGTTTTAGTCTCTCTCTCTCTATATATATATATATATATGTATGTATGTATATTCAAACATGTTTCATTAAATAATATAGATACATCTATTCATTTTTATAATAATCCTTTCTAGTTAATTATCTTCTTGATGTTAAGTTGAAATTCATCATTATTATTTAATGCTGCTTGAATAAAGATACGCTACCTATATATATATATATATATATATATATATATATATATATATATATATATATATATATATATATATATAATTTTTAAAGTGCAACTGAAACGTTTGATTATAAAAGCTCCCATGCCTATAGACAAATGCACGCACATGGGAACGTAAAATAAATAAATTCAGGTATCACTCATGCCTATACATTTAACTGCATACATGCGAGCAGAAATATATCTACAATTCAACGTTTATACGTTTTTCCTGTGCGTCCTCACCAAAAAAAAAAAATTAAACGAAATAAAATCATCCAATATTTATGGTCTTTAACCTGTAAATAAACAAATGAAGAGACACACACTAAGCCACACACATACACGTGGGTCTTCATCTGCTCCCTAAAACAGCGTGGACAGACACACATGCGTTCCCGCGTAGACACACTTACTAGCATGCCCATGCTGTTGTACACACGTGTGTCTCATCTCTTAACCACACTTACAAAAGTCGATATCTATATGTTCTCACACATACGTTCATTCTTGCATTTTCCTTTCTTTTGCAAAACTCTTGAGTCCTCATGCTTCCCCACCTCCACTCACAGCTCCAGCGAAAATAATATCTACTTTCACTTTCATTTCCATTTCTCTTCTTTCACATCGACGCCATTTTGTCTTCTTCGTCCTCTCCGCCTTCCAAGCCTCATCGCTGACACTGCTGCCTTCGTCCTCTACACCTCGGTCTTAGAGTAGTTCGTTCATTCACACACATCAACAATGCTACTACTACCTCCATTTTCTTTCTTCCTTCTCTCTTTCTTCTATGCATATATTCTACAATTGTCTCCTTTTTCCTCTCCGTTCTGGTTTAACTCTCCGCAGCCCCACGCTCTTCTTTCTCTGCGCTGCCTTGCTCTCCGCACTGCTCAACTCCCATTGGCTGGTTTCTGGGTGGCTTCTGCATGCAGCGCCCTCTGACGAAGCGCTCTACAATCAGGCCGGTCGGTCGTCGTTGGGTCAGGACTTCAACACTGAAGAGAGAGACGCGCTTTTTTACGTCAGAGGAGCAGCAGTAGCAGCAGCAACAGCAACACGGGGGTGGGGGAAGGAAGGAAAAGGAAGGGGGTGGTGGAAGGATGGAATGGGAACATAAGAGAGAGAAAGAAATGATGACTCGAAGCGTAGAGAAGAAAAAATAAAGACATAACAGATCAGTAGAAGTTGTGGGGTCGAAGCGCAGAAGTAATTAAAGAAAAGATAATGACTGAAAATGAGGGAGAATTCCGTACGAGATAACGAGAAGCAGTAAAATGAACTACAGCCGTTTAAAAGAAAGAAAGAAAGAAAGAAAGAAAGAAAGAAAGAAAGAAAGAAAGAACAGAGGAAAGAAAGAAAGAAAGAAAAGGAACATAAAGAAAGAAAGAAAGAAAGAAAGAAAGAAAGAAAGAAAAGGAACATAAAGAAAGAAAGAAAGAAAGAAAGAAAGAAAGAAAGAAAGAAAGAGCAGAAGAAAGAAATAAGAAAGAAAGAAAGAATGAATGAATGAATGAATGAAAAAGAACAAAGAGAAGAAAGAACATACGATAGAAAGAATGAAAAAGAACAGAAAGAAGAAAGAAAGAAAGAAAGAAAAAAGAAAGGAAAACGAAAGAATGAATGAATGAATGAATGAAAAAGAACAGAGAAGAAAGAAAGAAAAAGAACATAAAGAAAGAATGAATGAATGAAGACGAACAAAGAGAGGAAAGAAAGAAAAAAGAACTATAAGAAAAAAGAAAGAAAGAAAGAAAGAAAAAAAAAACAGAGAAAAAAGCAAGAAAAATGAATGGATAAAAAAAGAACAAAGAGAAGAAAGAAAGAAAGTAAGAAAGAAAGAAAAAAGAAAGAAAGAAAGAAAACAGAGAGAAGAAATAAGAAAAGAAAGAAAAAAGCTAGAAATAGTGTTCAAATTTCTTTCACTTTCATTTCTGTACGCTTAGTTTAACTTTTTTGCCTTTTTCCTTTTTTTTTTTTTTTTTTGGCTTCTTTCTCCTCTTTGCTCTTTTTTATATTCCCTACCCGTCACCATTTTCTTTCTTTCTTTTCTTTCTTTCTTTCTTTCTTTCTTTCTTTCTTTCTTTCTTTCTTTTCCTGGTCTCCTTCTCCCTCTGTTTTCAGTTCTTTTATTTTTATATTTTTGCACTTCTTATTTTAAGCGTGGAAGGCAATGGGACAGGTAGACTCAGAAGAGCCGCATAAGAATAAGAAAAAGAAAGACAAATATAAATAAAACGCTACAATTCTTAGTATTTTTTTCTGTCTTCTTCCTTTTCTTTGATCATAATATTGCCAGGCTCATACTGCAACAACAGAGGCTATAGCAGTCGAAACACTAACCGCATCTAAGTCTGTCTCATCTTCGCATCCTTGCTCTTTCTATCTATCCATCTATTCGTCAATTCTCACTCTCATTCTCTTTCTATTTTTCATATCTCTCTCTCTCTATCTCTCTCTCTCTCTCTCTATCTATCTATCTATCTATCTATCTATCTATCTATCTATCTATCTATCCACATTTCTCTTTTTCTATTAATTTTTACTCACGCTTTTCACACACTATATTTCTTTCTTGATTTCTTTTTTTTTTCTTACTCCTTCTCTCTTTCTCTCTTTTACTGTTCCTTTCCGCCATTCTTTCTTCCGTGCTTTCTTTCTTTCTTCCCCACTTTCTCTTTTTTCTCTTCATTTCCAGTTTCCCTCTTTTTCAATCTCTCGACTTTCCACTCTCTCTCTCTCTATTTCTCTCTATCTTCCTCCTCTCTCTCTCTCTCTCTCTCTCTCTTACGCTTGCTCATTTTCTTAAATGTTCATCTCATACCCCTAAACCTATCAAACATTTCTCTCTCTTCCTCTCTCTCCTTCTACCTCTCTCTCCTTCTCTCTCGCTATCTATCTATGTCTTTATTTCTCTTTCTCTCTGTCTATCTTTCAATTTTTCAAACATGTCGTTACATACTGCGTAACGTTCTAAACGTCGAACGCTGATTGGTCGACTACGTTCGAATCGGCGCCGTCGATTCGTCCGATTCTAGGACAGCGTACACGTTAGGCTTAATAATACCACTCTGCACTTGTTAGAGAAGAAAAAGAAAGGAAAAAAAGAAGAAATCAGCGGAGACGAAGACGACCAAGTTAAATAAGATAGTGACTGCTACTGCTACTAAAATTGACTTGTGTTGAAAATACCCCCCCACACACACAACACACAAACAACCAAAAGAGGACATTTAAATAGAAACTGGCGGGGAGTTAAAAACAAATCAACGATTTTACCTTAATTGGCTATTTTTCATCGCTTTTTAATGTAACGCTAAAGTAAAAACTTCAATGCAACATTTCATGGGTGTTTCGTTAAGACAGCAAAGGTACGGTCATTTATAAAGTCTAGCAGAATATAAGCGACTCAGGATCGAACCCACTGCGAGACAACAACAGTGAGATAATCATGATGCTCGCATTCACGACACTAACGAATTAGTCAACAATAGGGACTCATTAAACATTACACCACTCTTACGTATTCGGGCACAAAACCGTAAAAACGAAACATCCAGTGATAATCGAACTCAATACACAGCCATGATAGAAAGGTGCTCATAATGATCGAATTAACAACGGTGGAGAATTAATCATAAGCGTCAGTTCGTTAACCATAACCCTATCATTTTTTTTTTTTTTTTTTTTTTTTTTTTTTGCAGAAAGTAAAATATATAGCGCGCACACAAACGTAATGGTGTTCTGTACCAGCTTTGTTAACTATTCACCGACAGCGAGGCGCCTAATCTATTAAGATTACGTATGCCCCTAAACATGTGGTAGATTGTTTTTAAATAATGTGGTTAATGTAAGGAACGCGTGTGTGTGTATGCGAGCATGGAATCAAGTACCTATTTACATTAAAGGTAAATTAACGTTAGTACTTATATAATTATAAGTGTAATGTTGCAAAGTTGAGGACAGCGAGTGTATCCACGAGCGTGTGTCTGTGACTTTCAGATCCTACATCTCGGTATGTAAGTATATAAAAGATATTTGAAGTCTAGGAGAAGGACAACTCTGAATTCAAAACCTGCGTGTGTGTGTGTGGGGGGGCGTTTGGGGACCTTGTGGCGCACGGTGTACCAGGTCTCTATATTCAACTCTTCAAAAAGTGTGTTTGGTTCTGCACAAACCCTTCACCACTGTAATCAAGTCATATGCGGTAACAGAGGTAGTATATATATATATATATATATATATATATATATATATATATTTATATATATATAACTGATCACTGAGGTCAACACCGAGTCTGTTTACTGCTTGACGCAATCTTCAGGCCATCTTTCAAATGTTTTCTTTAATATCTACATACACTCTATCCCTGATATTTGAACACTTTTACCCATAAATGTAGCATGTCTTAGAACTATACTTTTATCATATATATAATATAAAGGTTATATATACATGATATATACACAATGCACATGGCCTGAAGATTGCGTCCACGCATGAAATAGACTGACACTGCTCGGTGTTGACCTGTGTCCACTATTGTACTTACATACACTATATCCCTGATATGGAGCACTTTGACTCATAAACATAGCATACCCTAAAACTATATATATATATATATATATATATATATATATATATATGAGAGAGAGAGAGAGAAGATAAACAGGACGATATAGGTAGATAAATAGATATGAACATATTGAAATATACATAGAGATAGACAGATTTAAGATTGAAATAGGTATGAACATATATATATATATATATATATATATATATATATATGAAAAATTTCTCAGAGTTAACCTGTAGAAAAGAAAAATATTCATAAATGTAAAAATATATATATATATATATATATATATATATATATATATATATATGTTTATGCATAAACAGAAGTTATATTAAAATATTTGTTGTCAGATTTAATCCATCTCATCTAATATATATATATATATATATATATATATATATAGAGAGAGAGAGAGAGAGAGAGAGAGAGATAGATAGATAGATAGATAGATAGATAGATAGATAGATAGATAGATAGATATGGGAAATTAACTTCATTCTTTTTTAAAGACAGACATATATTAACTAATTGGAATAGACACACAGGGAGAGAGATAGATAGATAGATAGAGAGAGAGAGAGAGAGAGAAATGGGAAATTTTTTAATCTCTCAAAGACCATTAACAACTCGAATTTTCCTTCATGAAATCGAACCTTTTGCCCTTTATTTCTCAACTCTAACACTTTAGATAGTCATACAACCTTCGACAGTCGTGTAGCAGAAAAGAGTGTGGCTTCGATGAGCTCAGCATGTCAACACCAGCAAGTTCAGCCTCCGAAATTTAGACGAGAAAAATTCGAAGGAAAAGAATGACAGGAATTTGGCGCTACATTGTCTTTTTAAATGAAGGAAGAAGCGATATTTCCGATTTTTGGTTAGCGTCAGTGGGCGGGGAGGCTGATACCAAAAAAAAAAAAATACGATTCAAAAAGCTGGTTGTCGGCTTGCTCCTTGCAAGCGTTATTTCGTGGGGAATGTAAAACCCCCACGAAATCTGGTATGAAAGAGATTGCCGCCCTCAGATTATAGTAGTGGTCTGAAAAAAAATAAGAGTCTTCTTACAGCATGTTTCACTCACTCACTCTCTCTTTCTCTCACTCTCTCACGCACAGTCTCACTCCTTCTCACTCACATTTTCTCTCACTCCCTCTCATACTCATACACGCTCTATCTCTCACTCTCTCTCACACACTCTCTCAAACACTTCTTCTCACTCTCTCTCACACACTCTCTCAAACACTTCTTCTCACTCTCTCTCATACCCACACCCGCTCACTCTCTCACACACTTCCTCTCACTATCTCCCACACTTCCTCTCACTCTCTGTCTCTCTCATATTCACACACGCTTTCTATCTCTCAGTCTCTCATATTCACACACGCTCTCTATCTCTCACTCTCTCATATTCACACACGCTCTCTATCTATCTCTCACTCTCTCACACACTCTCTCACGCACACACGCTTTCTTTCTCAGACTCACACACTCACTCTCTATCATTATCTCACAAACTCTTTCACACACTCTCTCTCACACACACAAACACTTCTCACACACAACTTCCCTCTCTCCCTCTTTCTCTCTCTCTCTCTCTCTCTATATATATATATATATATATATATATATATATGTGTGTGTGTGTGTGTGTGTGTGTGTGTGTGTGTATGATATACACACACATACACACACACACAAAGTCTCTCACTCTCCTCATGAAGACAGCGAAACGAACAGAGTGTGGGGGGTGTGGATGAGAGAGAAAAGATCCCTTCGGAAAACACGGATAACTGTTCGTTTCTGACCGATGCCCATATAAAAGCTAGAACTGTAGATGCAGATTTTCAAGGAAATTAAACAGGTAGTTCAACAAGTGGGAAATTCGCAAAATAAAATCTCCCTATTCCTCTAAGTGGGGGAGGGGGACTGACAACCACATCGAATAGCCAGAAAGGAAATGAAAAAGAAAGCCTTCTTGCTTATACAGCCACAAAATCGGCCGAGATTGTCTATGGGCTCAAAAGCAAGATTTATTTTTCTATTTAAATTTTAAGAAAATTATATGCGAACAATTTGCTCAATTACACGTGACAAGACATTTAAACAAAATATCTGGCGAGTTGACAGAATACAGGGTAAGTGAATTCATGCCTTTGGCATAAAGGCAATTAAAGTCTATGTACATTGACTCAACCAACTCGCATGACGAAACGCATCTATTCGGCAGGATGTGCTGAAAAGTTATCGGCTCTACTGAGAAAGCCTTCTCAAGTCGGATGTTTATTAAATCGGCTTCAATTATTCAATCGGCTTCAATTTATCGTACAATACATACATACATATATCT